TGGCCCATCCTAGCTCGCCAGTGGGTCACGAATGCCGTAAGCGGCTTGCGGGGGGTTCGATTAAGACGAAGCCAGGACGAGGATTACATCGGGGGAGGGCAAATCAAGAATCTCTGAGATCTGGCGGTCTGGGAGGATGTCTCGGGCGCCGCGGCCTTCTCAGAGCGTTCCGGAACGCTCTGGAACGGATCTATCCTCGTCCTAGCCCCGTCCGATCTGGCCCATCCTAGCGCGCCAGTGGGTCACGAGTGCCCTGAGCGGCTTGCGGGGGGTTTGGATACTCCAGCCAAGTGGGCGTAGCCTACTTGGCCTGGATCGTTGCCCCCTGAGCCACGGAGGGCAACTTTCACCCTCTTATGAGCTAGGTCAGGCCAGACATCACCTACCTTATCGTCCACTTATAACCGGTCTTCCTCCATTCGCATTCCGAGCTGATCTCTGCAGACATCCGAAGGCGGATGACTTTTCGCTTCAATCCAGGCGTTTTCTATTTAACTCAGGCGTCCGGCTCCCCCCAAATCTTCGGCGTCTTGTTTTTTCCGTAACTTGGGTCCGCACAGGTCTAGACCCTACCCCCCGGGACTGGTTTTTCATCCTGGGTCGCTTTTTGACGGTACGGTAGGTGAGAAGGGGGAGGGAGGAAAGAGGGCGGGACAGGACTGGATGAAGTGAGAGAAACCTGCATTGAATCAGACTTGGCCACTGGACATTATGACATCCCTCGACCTCTTTTGTATCCGAGGGCCGATGCTCTGAACTTGGATCAGGAGGATATAAGGCGACTTCGAAGCAGGACTCCCAGATAATATCCCACAACCTCAAGTCGTGTTGATTTTTCCCTCGCGAAGAGATGAAGTCCGGGCTGCTGCTGCTAAGCCTAACGCTTTCGACACTGAGGATCGTGGGAGGGGGGCTTACTCGGTCGTGTCCGGGCAGCTTCCAGACGTTGCTAATCCTGGAGATGTCCTCGGAGGACTGTCAGGGACCCCTGGGGGTGAGGATCTGCGGCGGAAGCGGACTTATCACCCAGAGGCCTCCATTCTCATCCGCCTTTTTCAGTCTCCCCCTTCCATCGAGAGGTATCACTCGCCATCGCTCGGACGTCCACTCCACGTGCACTGTTCGGTTTCATGCGCGATCTCTGGTTTCGCAAGATGATCCATCCTTGGTGGTCCCCGCCGAAATAGAGTACACGTCCGAGCGATGCCAAGGACAGGCGACTGAAACGGCAGGCACACCCAAAGGATCCCTCTCAGCACGAGAGGGCACGCTCATGGGAGCGGCGGCGGTTGGATGATTCTACGTTGCGTTGTCTTCAAGACACTCACTGCAACTGCGCCCGCCAAGGTCAACGACATCTCGCAGTACACGGACACAGACTTCATCATGCTGCAAGGCACAGCACTGCCAGGATGGGGGCACCTCAGCAGTCAATAGGCAAGCCACCAGCGAACCTTTATTAATCCATCTGGGCTAAGGTACTAAAAAGAACAACACGTCATGTTGAGATCAAATGGCATTTCACACCAAACGTACCCGCAGGAGCACGTGATCATAATCGTAGCAGGGAAACAGAGGCTCCAAGGGCGAGCACTCATGGTTAATTTCAAGAGGGGGCAACATGACGTGACAGCCTTCTCGCTCTGATCTCCCACCAAAAGCAAAAGACGAGGAGCTGTTGCTACACCAGGCTCCATCGCAGGGGAGATGTGCAGGTGGCTACATGATCAACTCAACTTGCTACCAGCCCGATGTGTGCCGCTGGCTGGGAAGAACTTAGATGTCCCGTGCGGGCCAGGCGTGCACACGACAGCAAGGGGATACCGGGCGGCGGATGCTGGAAGACCGAGTGCTTTAGCAGCGAAGCCGACACTTCAGGCGCACGGCCTGGTGTTGGCCAACACCTACGCTGACGCAACAACGACGCCCTACGGCACATCGAACAAGTGGCCCAGCGCATTGCCTGCTCAGCGTGCCCGAGGCAAGGCTTTACAGAGCATTGAAGGGGATCGTTGTGTCCAAGGGCGCAGGCAGGAGGCTTCAACACATCCGATGCGTGGCACCAGAGAACATAACATACAGTAGGGGCCCGACCACAAGAAACCTCCCACAAGAAACCCAACCCTGAGACCCCAGGACGACCATTGACTTTTGGTGTGGGAGCGTCGCGCTCTCCCTCGCAAAACCATCGAAACCCAAGAGACCCAGGGCTCCCTGGAGGCAAGCAGGGTGCTTCTCTTGGCATGGGTTTCCTCTCTATCCGCGGCCTTCACGGTCTTTAGCAGGGCCAGCAGTCACGCCGCACCCGGCCGCTGCGGACAGGAGCGAGTGCGGTGGGTCGCGGGTGGGTCTCGGGCCAAGTCGCGGGCCGGGGGGCGCGCCAGATCGCGGGGTGGGTCGCGGGTGGGTCGCGGACGCTCGCGGGTGGGCGCAACGGTCGCGGGGTGGGTCGCGGGTGGTCGCGGGCCGGGTCGCGGTGGGTCGCGGGTGCTCGCGGGCCAAGTCGCGGGGTGGGTCGCAAGTGGGTGACAGGTGGGTCGCCTGTGGGTCGCGGGTGGGTCGCGGATGGGTTGCGTGTGAGTCGCGAGCTGGGTCGCGGGTGGAACGAAGACGACAACAAACACCAGTAACAACAACAGAACAGCAACAGCAACAGCAACAGCAACAGCAACAGCAACAGCAACAGCAACAACAACAGCAGCAACAACAACAACAACAACAACACCACCACCAACAACAACAACAACAACAACACCAACACCAACACCAACACCAACACCAACAACAATAACAACAACAACAACAACAACAACAACAACAACAACAACGACGACACTGACAACAACGTTCCTTTTTTCAATGTACCCGGATTCTCCATGCTTCTATACACAGCATGCATCCATCGTGATAAGTCCCCCCTTCATGGTGGGTGTTGTTCTTGCGCACGGGGGTCCGATGTTCCCTCTCCCTGATCTCCCGCCCGAGGAGGTCTTGACAACACCTCTCCCGACGTACTTTAACATCTCAAACCCCGATGGTATATCGCCTTCGTAATCCCCCTGCCCAGGCCTTGCTTCTAGGTCTCACGACGCCTGAGTGGCATAAGAAATCGGGGGGGGGGGGCCTCAACAACCTCTGGGAGAGCCCCGTGGAGAGCCCCCGGGGCCTCTGACAGAAGCGCCAGAGCTTAGGCCGCTAGGCTTCCGACCCCTTCCAAAGGACCGTTTCTGCGTCGGCCGCTTGCTGATGACGCAGGGGCTCGCCGTCGTCGTTGTGGTGGTCGTTGTCGCCGCCGCCGCCGTCGTCGTTGTCGTCGTCCTCCTCCTCCTCCTCCTCATCCAAAGAATGTCCCTGGCCCTCGGTGTCTCCAGGAGTTCCAGGAGGCCCCCGACGGCCTCCAGAGAGCACGATGAAGACAACGACGACGACGACGACGCCGACGACGGCGGCGGCGGCGACGACGGCGACGACGCCACGCCCTAGGACACGAGTGAGATCGAGGTCGCGCGGAGCAGCGCGCGAAAGCGTGAAAGCGAATTCAGGGCGTCCAACAATAAATTGTTAAGCGACGACGATCACGACGACGACGACGACGACGACGACGACGACGACGACGACGACGACGACGACGACGACGGCGGCGGCGGCGGCGGCGGCGGCGGCGGCGGCGGCGGCGGAGGCGGGGGCGGCGACGACAACGGCGACGACGCCACGCCCCAGGATACGAGTAAGAGCGAGGTCGCGCGGAGCCTGCGCGAGAGCGCGAAAGCACATTCAGGGTGTCCAACAGTGGTAATTGTCCAGTAACTAAGGTCCAACAGGGACTGGGGAAGCCTCAGGGCCTCCTGGGAGTCCTGAGCGAAGGCGGAGGAAGTATCGAGCGGGAGCGTCGTTGTTTATCGGGGGATCCTGAGCGGAGAGCGCCGGTCCTGAGGTAAAACAAATACCCTGCGACATACCAACCCTTTTTATACACGTGGCGTTTATATTCAGGGCCACTCAATGCTGACTGACATTCTGAAGGACCCGCAGTGCGCAAGAAGAGCACTCAGGAGTGAAATCATAAGAAAGAATCAAGAAGAGGAACAGCAAACCTGCAACATGGAAGCACAAGGGTGTTGAAAGAAACGCAAAAGCGGGTGGCGGCGAGGGCTAAACCAGAACATCGGTTTAACTCAGCAACGCGCTGCGCTGAAAGAGCCAAATTCACGAGGTGCATAACGGGGGCGGAGACTCACCCAAAAGTGGAGACAAAAGGGCGCGGCAGCGAACCCAAAGAAAAGAACTCAAAAGTGGAAGCGAAAGGTCGCGGCCTCGAGGATAAGCAGGAGCACCCAGTCACCGCGTGGGACGTACCTCCGCTGGGCCTCCCAAGAGCCCACCAAAGTGGCGACAGTTGCGCGGATCGCAAGCCCCCCAGGGGGCGGCGAGGTCCCGAGGTGAACCGCCGTAGGGAGGCGGCGACAGGATCCCGAGGTGAACCGCGTGGGACGTACCTCCGCTGGGCCTCCCAGGAGCCCGCGAAAGTGGCGACAGTTGCGCGGATCGCAAGCCCCCCAGGGGGCGGCGAGGTCCCGAGGTGATCCGCGTGGGACGTACCTCCGCTGGGCCTCCCAGGAGCCCGCGAAAGTGGCGACAGTTGCGCGGATCGCAAGCCCCCCAGGGGGCGGCGAGGTCCCGAGGTGATCCGCGTGGGACGTACCTCCGCTGGGCCTCCCAGCCCGCGAAAGTGGCGACAGTTGCGCGGATCGCAAGCCCCCCAGTGGGCGGCGAGGTACCGAGGTGGTCCGCGTGGGACGTACCTCCGCTGGGCCTCCCAGGAGCCCACGAAAGTGGCGACAGTTGCGCAGATCGCAAGCCCCACAGGGGACGCGCAGACGGCATGAGAGAAGAGGGGAAGGACACACAGGAGACAGGGGAGAAGGAGGAGAGGAGGAGAGGAGGAGAGGAGGAAGAGGAGGTGGAGACCACACTGCTCCATTCAAAACGGGTGCCCAACACCACAGGAGGGTTGGGAACAAGGAAGTATCGAGCAGGAGCGCCGGTTGTGTTGGAAGGGCGGCTCTGGGGGGCGAGCAGGAGCCCAGGCTCCGAGTGAGAAAGGAGGAAATATCAAGCCTGAGCGTCATTTTGGGGGGGCCCGTTTTGGCGGACCACCGAAACGCCTTAGCGCGAGCCGCATGTTCAAAGGAAATGCAGCCGGCGCCTAAGCGAGAGCGCGGAAGCGCATTCGGGGTGTCCAACAGGAGTATTTCTTTTCAGAAATAGGGGTTCAGCAGCAACACCATCAACGACAACAACAGCATCATCAACAACAAAAGTAATCCGCACCGCGAAACCTCACTTCAGCCACGCGTCCAGGGACAGTGAATGACCGTTCGGCCCCCTCCCTCTCATGAGATTCAACCAGCAGACGTGCAATGCTACATCATAGTGTGACACAGGTAGCAGAGCGCGCGGTTCCAACGTGAAAGAGAAGCTGAGACTAGACATCAATGAGTTTGATCAGTGGGGGTGTGAAGGGAATGTAGACCGGATCAATGCAGGACCCGTGGAGACGATACAGACAGTTACGGTTGACATGCTCACAGAGACGCCAGGATATTTGGAACAGAAAGAGCACACGGTCGCACAGAGCTTTACATCGAGGAGCTATTATTGACAAGAGGGGATCCGAAGCAACACGAATGAGATGTTTGGTATGAACTGTCGTTGAGACTCTTCATACGCTTGAACACATCTACGCAGACGCTCGTTCAGACACTTACGGAGAGGCGAGTGGAGAAGCAAAGACAGCGAGATAGTCCCATGATGAACACAAAATATCTAGACGACTAGCAGGAATATTCAAGGAAACCAAAGGGGATACTTTACAACAGATAACTCAGCACGCGGGCGTCAGCTGAGGAATGGGTTGAGAAATGCCAGTTGGAACGAGTGGAGGAATCGATGTAGGATTACTGTTGCATGGTAAAGGACCCAATAGGGCCAGTGGTTGTTGGGGGCTGTTGTTCGTCCAGAGTGCAGTGCAGGCCAGAGGAAACCATCATAGGCCATCCCACCTCGAGCGGGTAAGCCCGGATTCAGAGAAGAACAACGAGGCCTACAGAGAAACTCGCCAGCCAACATTACCCGATGCGGAATTGTTGCGCAAGGCTCACGAGAAACTACGATCGCGGCGAGCGCAATCACGGTGGAGTGCCCGAGGAGATGTGCCGCGAGAGCTAGCCATGCCGATCTGATACGACTGGCCGCATCGAGGAGGAAGACAAGGACACGATGCAAAAGAAGAGGAACTACCGGCAACACAGTCTGAAGGAAACATCTATACCCTGACGTGGGGTAGTCGAACAATGGGGCGAGCATCGACAATATGGCATCAAGAATCGTGCTGTCAGCTATCCAAACACCCTGAACAAGTGGGAACATCAGGAGAGCATATTAGCGTCCGATTATGATCTTGTGGAATGGACGCGTATTTTTGCAGATCGGCGATGAAGAAGCAACAGGTTCCAGATTGGGCACATTGAGGAATGTCGCATCGGCGGCGCGAAAACGCCATGCTAATGCCGCCATGTGTTCAGCCAGGCTCTGACGAGCAGAGGTAGCGCAACTCACCAGGCACCATGACGTCAGCAGCGCGGTCTACGGTGTGTACGACGGAAAAAAGAACGAGCTGTTCAGGAGCTGGCTGGTGGAAGGCGAGAGGACCTTTTCTTGCAGCGAACCCACAACAGCACATGTGTCGCCTCTGATAGGCATGATAAAGGGCACGTGGCCAACGCGACGGGTGCACTTCCAGAAGATCATGCAGCTAACGAACGGTTCGGCAAAACCATGGCTAGGGTGTGGAACCAATGGTGTCTCGATTCGACCGTGACCCCTGGCAACGAGCACTGCGCACGATGTTGCCGCCAGCTATTCAGTCGCCCCAGGACGAACACACGATAGACCTTGCCACAATCACAGTCGTCGATGACGTGGCCAGGAAAGTCGTGGCGGCAGACCAGTGCCACATCGGAGGAGTAGCAAGCTGGGATATTTCAGTCTTTGATGCAGCCCTGGAGGAGGTGCGAGGAGCTGCCCCCGAGGCGCCAATCTGTCGGTACCCCTGACTGCTCCAAGCCCTGATGATTCGGGAGGGTTGCACGCCCGAGTTATCCGGTGTAAATGCGGTGCGGGGCAACTCCGGTTTGGGCGCCTGAGGCGCGAATATATAGCTATCCCTGACTGCTCCAAGCCCTGACATGCGACGTCCTGCTTTTTGTCACTACGTTGACCCCCAGAGGTGCCGACCCATTCCCCAGGACCGGTTTGTCGTCCCGAATCTTTTTTTCAAGGTCCCGGGGCCAAGTGAGGGCCCCCAGAAGCCGGAGACGGTGAAAGACGAAATCCGCCCTGATTCTTCACGACGTGGGCATCTCTGGGGCGGGGGGGGGCCAGGCGGGGTCCCAGGAGAGCCCAGAATCGAATCGACAAGTCGAATCGGCAAACATCGGCAGCCTGGTAGGCCTCCGGTGAGGAATCGCAGTTCAACTCGGAATCCGAAGTCAAATCGAATCGGGATCGGAGGCCGCCGACATCGCATCGGATCGAATCGGAGGAATCGTCATGCGCCCTGGTGCCCTCGCGAGACCACCGTGTCCTGCGACACCACCGAGTCCTGGTGCTCGAGCCGCGGCCGCTGCATGGCCGCGCGGGGGGGGGGGGGGTCGGGGGGCGCGCGGCGCGGCCGCCGCGCGCCCGCGCAGGCGGGGGGCGGGCGGGCGCGGGTCTCGGCCCCGCGCGCCGCGCGGCAGGTCGTAGACGCCACCCCTTGGGCCCAGACCCCCTCGAGCAACGGAGAACTCGCGACGGGAGGCGTTTCGCCATGTTCGGCATTCGGGGGCCCCTGCCGGGCCTCGTGGCCGCCAAGAAACCACCCGGGGCGAAAAAGTGGTCCCGGGGGATGGGTCGAGACCTCGGGGGGTCGACGCCACGAGGAAAACCTTGCGTCGGGATTCTGGGGAGCTCCCTCAGACTCCCGACGGTGCGACTTTTCCACACCGTCGACCCTCTGCAGAGGCCTGGACCCCTTCCCTGGGACCGGAGGTTCGTCCAGGGTCGTTGTTTGACGGTCCCGAGGCCTGGCAGGAGCCCCCAGACCCTGCGGCGGGAAGGGTTGGACGACAGCCATGGGGGGTGGGGCTGGATCCGGGGAGCGACAAGGGGGGGGGGGGGGGGCGGCTCGGGAGGGCGGGGGGAAGGCGGGAAGGAGGGGGGACGAGAGGGGGGGAACGACAGGGGGGAGGGGGACTCGATCCGGGGAGCGACAAGGGGAGAGGGGGGGAATGACTCAGAGGGGAGGGGGGGGGGCATCGACCTGGACTCGGCGATGCCCCGCCGTCGCGACAGGGAGCCCGTACGCTCCTGGGCGGGGGGGGGTCCATCGGGCCTCCGTCGGCGATCCGTGGGCCATTGGGGGGTCGATGCGTCCCTCCCTGAGCCAGACCCCTGACGTCGCCCTTTCCTCGCAATCGGGAGCGGCCAAGAGGGGGGTGTCTAAGAGGGGGGGGTGCAAATCATGACCCGCGGCATGTGCGCGGCCCAGCGGGGGGGCCAGGGACGTAATGAAATAAGAAGAGGCGCCACGAGATCTGGGGAAATATCATGGCCCCCGCCATGATATCCACCCCCCCCTAGTCATCACCCCCCTCTTTTCCGCCCCCGATCGCAACGGCGACCCCCAGAGGTCTGGACTCCTTCCTCGGGACCGCTTTTTCATCCCGACTCGTTTTTTGATGGTCCCACGGCCCGGCCCCGAGAGGCCGAAAAGACTCAGCGAGAAACCTCCCGTCGTGTATATATATATATACACACACACGACGCGAGGGGGTCTGGGGAGCTTCCTCCCCCCTGGCGTTGCCCACAGGCCCAGGCCGCGGAGCAGACGGCGGTTCGGGAGGTGCGCGGCCGCCCCCGACCTCCGCTAGATGCCTCCTCTAGATGGGGTCCGAGCAGATGGGATCGGAGGATCGCGCCGCATCGGCGATGCATCGATGAAGCCTCGGCGACGTCAGCGATGCATCGGCGCCGTCGGCGAGGCGAAGACCAGGCTCCACATCGAGCCGCATCGCGATCCCCCGACCCCATCTACTCGAGCCCCATCTGGGAGGCCTAGATGCGCTGGGCCCTCCCGGGCCCCCAGGGGCCACCAGATCGTCGAGGGGCTGGCCCTGGGCGGGATGTCTGGGCCTCCGGGGCCCACGTGGCGGGAAGACCTCACCACGTTGGAAATCTCGGGGGAGGGAGCACGCGGTGGGGGATGAGAAGGAGCGGGGGCAGGGGGCTGGTGTGAAGGTCGAAGAGAACGGAGGAGGGGAATGGGGTTGAGGATGGGAATGGAGCGGGCGAGGGGAGAGGGGGGACTGCGCGCGCGTGGGCTGACGCGCGAAGCCCGTTGATGCGAAGCCGCTGGCCCCTCCTCTTGCTGATCCACCTCCTCCTGCTGCTCCTCCTCCTCCTGCTCCTCCTCCTCCTCCTTCTCCTCCTCCTCCTCCCTCTGCTCCGCCTGGTGCTGGTCCTTGCCCTCGCCTCCTTCTAGTACATCCTTCTCTTCCTCCATCTCCTCCTCCTCCTCCTCCTCCGCCTCCTCCGCCTCCTCATCCTCATCCCGCCTCCGCTCCCTCACATCCGCCTCACTATTTCCCACTTCTCTTCTCGCTCCTCATATCCATACTACCACTGCTCCCGCTCCTCTAAATGCTCCTCGTTCTGCTCCTCCGCCTCCTCCTCCGCCCCCTCGTCACATTATCATGACCAGGAGCATCTACATCACCAACCAGCATCGTCAGCGTCACCACGCGAAGTAGTCATCATGATCGCCACCGGGATGATGACTGCAACCAGTATCAACAGCAATAGCATCATGATCAGTATCATGATCACCAGCATGATCATGATCACGATAACCAGCCTTATAACTATCATCATCACCATAATCATCACCAGCATCATCGCTATCATTACCATGTGTACCAGCAGCATCAGCATCGTCATCAGCATCATCAGCATACTCATATTCACACTCAACATCAGCATCGTCGTCACCACCAACAGCAACACCATGTCCACCATCATCACAATCACCATCACCATCACCATCACCGTTACCATCATCGTCATGTTCGTCACCAGCGTCAGATTCGTCATCATCTTCAGCACGCTCAGCATCGGAGGGCCGCGGAAGGGAGGCCCCGTCAGAATACCGACAGGCCCTCTCGAACCTAGACCCCTCCGACCTTGTGATTATTTTGCCACACGGTCCCAGGGCCCGGCGAGGGCCCCTGGAGGCTGAAAACTGCCAGACAACTCCAGTCGTGTTGTTGATGTTGTTGTTGGTGGTGGTGATATGTTTCTTGTGTGTTGTTGATGATGTTGTTGTTGTTGTTGGTGTTGCTGTTGTGTTTGTGTGTAGTGCTGTTGATGTTGTTGTTGGTGGCGACGTTGTTGTTGTCGTTGTCGTTGTGTGTTGGCGTGGATGGTGTTGTTGTTGCTGCTGTTGGTGTTGTTGATGTTGTTGTTGATGTTGTTGATGTTGCTGTTGCTGTTGAAGGTGTTGGTGTTGTTGTTGTTGTCGTCGTTGTTGTTGTTATTGTCGTTGTTGATGCTGCTGCTGCTGCTGTTGTTGTTTGTGTTGTTGTTGATGTTGTTGTGGTTGTCGCTGTCGTTGTTGATGCTGCTGTTCCGCGGCGAGGGACAATCTGAAACCCTCGGCCCACAGGAGCCGGCGGCCCATCGGCGGTGGACAAACCTCCCTTTAGTAAACCTCCCCTTAGTGAAAAGCGCCTGGGACCGAAACCGACGGACCCGGACCCGCAAAAATGACGGCCGTCCGACGCCCCCATCGCGAACCGAAAACGGCCAATTCCTTAATCGACGTGTCAGGGTAGGAGGTCTGTCCACCCCCGAGCCCACCTCATAGTCCCAGGCACGTGAGGAGCACATGTGGGGGGACAAAAAGTGGCATAAATATAAAAACTCGGAGGTCCGCGCGGATTTCTCGGATCGGCGCTGCACCCCCCTCCCTGGCGCGCGGAGCGCGCCAGGGGCGGCGCCGGAGGCGCCGCCGGGGGGCCCCAGCGCCGATCCGAGAAATCCGCGCGGACCTCCGAGTTTTTATGTTTATGTCACTTTTGGTTCCCCTACCATGTCTGCTTCGGTCCGACCGGATAGGCCAGAGGCCTCGACCGACTCCTCGAGCACGGGCTGCGCCCCTGCTGCCCCCGAGGCCGGAGACTGGCCCCCTGCGCGGCCACAGCGCCCGTGCGCCTTGGGCCTCTTGGGCCGGCGCGCCCCCCGGGGTGCGCCGAAGAGGGGTGCCACGAGGAGGAGGAGGAAGAGGAGGAAGAGGAGGAGGAGGAGCAGGAGGAGTAACTGCCCCGAGGCATGTGCGCTAACGTCGAACAAACTGGGGGGGGGAAAACCAGGACACCCGGGAGCCATCCTGGCCCTGGCCAGGATAGCTCCCCCGCATGGTCCTCGCCCACCTCTTGGACGCCCCCCTCCCACCGCGTCTCCCCTCGATCCTCATTCCTCCTCCTCCTCCTCCTCCTCCTCCTCCTCCTCCTTTTCACTGCCCCCCCTCCCCTCCTCGAGGGACTCGGTGGGCTCCGCCGACTTGGCGGCCGCCGGCTGGGCCGCCGGGCCAGGAAGCTCCGCCGCCTGGGCCGAAGGGGGGGTGCGGGGGGGGGGAGCTCTCTGACGGCTCCTCGGCAAGAGCAGATCCTCACATGCCAGACTGCTGGACAGCACGAGCAGCAGCAAAGCCACACTGGTCGGACGACACCACCCGGCTGGCCGAGCGCGCTCCACTGCTCGCAGAGTATCTGCTCGCGAATGGCCTGGACCCGCCGAGGAGGATCTACGATCAATCGCATCGAAGCGAACCTATGTGTTTTTTTTTCTGACGTTTGCGAGTAGGCACTCTGCGAGTAGTGGAACGCGCTCGGTGACAGGCAACAACAGCGATCGAGCAACACGCCCCGTTTGTACGACGACGCGCGTGTCATAGACCCAGGCATGCGACGGCCTGATCTTTTTCAGGACGGCGTCACTGGAAGTCCCAACCCTTTCCACGGGACTGGCTTTTCGTCCTGAATCGTTTTTTGACGGTCCAAGGGCCCAGCGAGGGCCCCCCGGGGCCGAAAATAGCCCAAAACCTCCCGTCCTGTTTTTTTTTGACGACGCGAGCATGTCTGGGGACACGCTTCGTCCCTCCCGGCACTGAGCGGTGCGCACCCCGGGGGTGGCGCGAGGGGGGCAGCCTTGGCCGTCCAGGGGGACCGGGGGCTTCTCTCAGACCATCGATTGTGGGCCCTCCTGGCTCCTGGTGCAGGTCTCCCGAGAAGCCCCCCCAGGGCCTCTCTGAGAGGGGCCCTGCCTTCTACGAGGCCCCACGCCCTCCAAGGCCATCCCCTAGGGGAACGAAGAATGACATACGCATAAAAACTCGGAGATCCGCGCGAACTTCTCGGATCGGCGCTGGGCCCCCCTCCCTGGCGCGCGGAGCGCGCCGGGGTGCGGCGCCGGGGGCGCCGCCAGGGGGGTCCAGCGCGGATCCGAGCAATCCACGCGGACCTCCGCGTTTTGCCTATCTACGAGGCCCCACGCCCTCGAGGGTTTCCCCCCTCACGCCACGCTCCCCATGCACGCATGCAGATTGAATGAAACTCACGACCGTACCACCCTCGTTCTCTGACGCCCCCTTGCGGGTCACAGAACCGTCCATGGAACGACTCGCGATGAGAAGCCACCCCCTGGGGGAAAGGTCGGCATTGTTGAGGGCCCGTGAAACACACACACACACACACACACACACACACACACACACACACACACACACACACACACACATACATACATACATACATACATACATACATACATACATACATACACACATACACACATACACACACAAACACACACACACACACACACGCACGCACGCACGCACGCACACACACACACACACCAACACACCAACACGACAACACACACACCACACCACACCACACCACACCACACCACACCACACCACACCACACCACACCACACCACACCACACCGCACCACACCACACCACACCACACCACACCACACCACACCACACCACACCACACCACACCACACCACACACACACACACACACACGCACGCACGCACGCACGCACGCACGCACACACACGACTTCGTGGGCCTGCGATTCATTGACACGGTCCTGCTGGGAGAATGGGGGAACTCATCGCCTGAAGCTGCGGCAGGCACGATGTGCAAAGATACATACGTACACACAGAAGCACGCACATTATCTTTCTCTCTCTCTCTCTCCCTCTTCCTTTCTTTCTTTATTTCTTTCTTTCTCTCTCTCTCTCCCACACTTGAAACACAACCACCCGCAAACTCACATGACATGCACTTGCTTTTGCTCCGACACGGTGGTGAAACGCAGCGATCGGAGATACTGACTTTGATGGAAGGCTGCATGTCCGCGCAAGCCGGGCCTGCACGTCAAATCTCGGCGACGACACGCAGAAATGTCTTCGCTCGGTTGGCCTCCTCTCCCCTGGGGAGTCGGCTGAAACGGCTCCGACGCAGGCCTCACATCACAATTCCGCGGGCATGTGCTGGGCCGCGTCTGCACTGTCGGGTCGCCGCTAGCACGACTGCTCGCCACTGAAACGAGGCGTCCTGAGCGAAACGGATCCGCGACCCCAGGGCATTCTCCCACAGGGGCAGATCTTCATCCCGAACGTATATTTATTTATTTGTTTATTTATTTAATTATTTATTTATGTATTTATTTATTTATTCATTTATTTATTTATTTATTTATTCATTTATATAATATATAATATACCTATATATGTATATATGGTTGACGGCCCCGGGGGCCAAGGAGGGCCCCCCAGGGGCCCGAGGGTGCCGAAACAAACATCCAGGGCACCTCCCCCGAACACCTCTCGCCCGCACGGCGAGCACGGGCGCTGCCGTGCCGCCTGCCAGCACGAGCTGCTACTGCTGCCTCGGGTCTCCGACAGCGTGGCGTTCGTGCACGACGTGGGAGCCCTGTGAGGTCTGCCGCCCTCCTCGACCTCAAGCGCAAGCTTCTGATATTGATCGACGGCGAAACTGACTACCTACCAGACCACCCCAACCCAACCCGAAGACCCGAATTTCGGGTTGGGGGGGTATGGGCTCCATACGTGTTTTTTCGATGTTCCCGGACCCCCCCCCACTAGAAATCGAGGGTAAATCTGACCCTTCGGGTTGGGTTGGGGTGGTTTGGTGGGTGGTGAGAAACGCGGCCCGCGGGGTCAGAGTTTCGTGCTTGCAGTCGCCAGTCTCAAAGTGAGGTGAACATCGGAAACGTCAGGTCCTGGGGCGCCGCCACGTCGCGGGAACAACTTGCGCTTGATATCGAGGAGGGCTGTAAACCCCTTCCCCAGGGCTGGCTTCGCATCCCCAGTCGGTGCCCGGCTGTCCCCGGACACCGCGAGGGCCCCCGAAAACTGGAAGCTGCCAGACACCGCCCGCCAACGTCGATCCGAGAAACCCGCTCGGCCCTCCGAGGTTGTATGTTTACGTCATTGCTCTTTCCCCCTTATGACTTCTCGAAGACGCGACTGGTCAGGCGGTCTGCGCTTGTCGGCTTTCGGGCCATGCCTGGGGGCCTCCTCGCGGCCGTGCGGGACGCTGCGGGCGTAAAATTAGGTCGGGCATGTCCCCCTACGGGGGGGATTTTGGACGGAAAATAAAACAGATCCCAGATTTTTCCAACTGATACACCAAAATGGTCATCAAGAAAAATCGTTGCCATACATTTTTCACTATTTTTGAATATTCCCCCTGTAGAGGCACAGGTCCGACTTAAGCATAAAACCAGGACCCTCTTGGCGCGGCGCGGCTGCATGCAGAGCAACACCCCGAGGCGAGCAGACCCCCCAAAAAGCCCACGACGAGCGCCGAAACCCCAGACCCCCCACGTCGTGATTTTCCACAACGTCGACCCTCAGAGGTCCGCAGACCCCTTCGCGCTGTGAAAAAATCACGACGGGAAGTTTGCCACTATTTTCGGCCTCTGGGTGCCCTTACCGGGCCTCGGGACCGTGAAAACACTACTCAGGATGAAAACTGGTCCCGGGGAAGAGGTCCAGACCTCTGAGGGTCGAGGTTGTCAACAAATCACAACGTCGGGGCTCTGGGTCTGGACCCCTCCCCCAGGACCGGTTTTTCATGCCGAGCCGTTTGTGGACGGCCCCGAGGCCTGGAGAGGACCCCCGGAGGCCGAGCAGCACAAGAAACACCCATGTCGCCGTGAGTTCTTCACAGCGCGAGGGGGCCTGGGTACGAAAACTGCCGAAGACCTCCCAGAGCCACCGACGGCAAAAAGCAGGGGCCGACCGTCCCTGCATTCCCATAGTCATACCACGACATGTTCTTAGAACCCAGAACTGTTCTAAGAACAAAAACTGTGTTCTTAGAACATAGACCCGATGCGTTATAAAACAAGACAGACTCCGCCAGAAATGTTCTAAGAACATTTCGTGGGAACCACAAGGTTCTTAGAACATTGCTTGGTAGGGCTATAGGCACGCTGGGACGCTTCGCCACTGCTTGACAAAAACGGCGGAGGTCGGGGCGCCGCCGCCGCGGCCGGCGCCCGACGCTTCTGGCCAACGGCGCGCTCGGCCGCGCCCCCCCCCCCCCGGCGGCGGGCCGTCCCTGGACGTGGCCCCCGGAGGCCTGGGCGCCCCCGTCGAGGGGCGGATGTTCCACCGCCACTGCCATAGGTAGGAGAGGGACGAGGAGGAGGAGGAGGAGGAGGAGGAGGAGGAGGAGGAGGAGGACCTCCCCATCCTGCCTGGGGAGAGCCCCAGCAAAAGCAGACAAAAAGGGCCCAAACCTTCCACCGTGACTCTCTGTCCACGCCGAGAGGAGGTAGGGGGTACTCTCTCTGAGCCTCTCCCCCTCCGCCCTGACACTGCCTCTGCCCCCCCCCGCCCCCCCGGATGAGAGCGCGCGCGCGCGCCTCCTCCTCCTCCTCCTGAGCCGCCCTGCGGGCCGCCGCCTTCGGGCGTCGTGCGGACGCCCACGGGCGCCGCCGGCCGACGAGGGTGGCACGGCGCGGGCTCGGCAGCAGCATCGGCATCAGCAACAGCATCATCATCATCATCATCATCATCATCATCATCATCATCATCATCATCATCATCATCATCATCACCATCATCAGCATCAGCAGCATCATCATCATCATCATCATCATCATCATCATCATCATCATCATCATCATCATCATCATCATCATCATCGTCCGCCTCTTCCTCCTCCCACTCCTGCCCCATCACCTCCCTCCCCCTCTCCTCCATCCTCGACCCAGTTTCTGTGTAAATAACTTTTACCTCTGGCACATCCAGACGTGTCGGTAGGGAGGGCTGGTCGTTTGGTCTGAGACTTCGTCACCATTTCAAATCCTGGAGCGTGGAATTCGCAACAACTTCAAAGATGGAGGCCCACCCGATTCGAAATGTGGCTCCCGCCTTCGCACCGCGTACATCCATCTTAAAAGTTTGATTCCGCTTCCCAGAAGTGGGGGCGGCTGGTTTTCAAAATGTGGCTCTCGCCATATGCCCGCGCGCATTCATCTGAAAAGTTTGCAACAGTGACAAGGATTCGTAGGGCTGAAATCCAAGCAGTTGTGTTCTAGAGCGGCTTAGTGGCGTCAGGACTTCACAGTCGCGCTGATTCGGGGCATTGAAGTCCCGAAAATGGCGCTCTGGCACGGTTTAGGATTGTCAGGACGCAAGACTCACGTTGATTCGTGGCGTTCAAATCCCACGACAAGTGTTTTGGCACGATTGGGATTTCTCGAACGATTGTCTTACAATGGGGCATGTCCCGCAATGAAGCCAAACTCTTGTAGGGACCTGTAATGAGGAAATTTGGAGAGAGGGGCTATTGCAACATCGTCGGTACGTCTTCGGTTTACACTGATCCACCTCCTCCTCCTCCTCCAAAGCGTCCTCCTCCCTTTCGGAAGACCCCCGGTGCGGATGACCCGGGCCTGTCATGAAGATGTCTCCGCCGTCTGGTTAGACTTTGCATACATTACCAGCCTGGAACATCCTCTATCCCTATGCTGGGCACCTCCTCATCACGATGCCAATCTTAGGGATTCCCTTATTGTTTGAAGGCGAATCCCTAAGAATGTCATCGCCTTTTGGCGTGTCAATCTTAGGGATAGGGATACGTTCGAGGCTGGTAAAAACAGCTGGTACTCGCTAGCCCACGGCACACGGGGCCGACCTAGTTACCACTCGCATCGAGTGCGAACGGCTGCTTCGCTTCTTGGGTTTTGAACAAGATGCCTTGTGAGTGGAAGCCGGTGAGCGCGCGAGCGGCTGCACCAGGCAGGTTATAAAGGTCTGTCGGGCGTGTGACAAATGTGCTTCTCAAGCTCCTGAGACCCTCGCCTGCACGGTTTCCCACAGGGCCGTAGGCGACCGGAGGAGGAGGAGGAGGAGGAGGAGGAGGACCAGTGTAAACCAAGGAGTCATCAACGATTTTGGAGCAACCCTTCCCTCCAAGCTCCCTCTTCATAGGCCCCTACAACTGTTCACTTCCATTGATGCAATTGCCCCGTTGGAAGACACCCATTTGAAGACCCTGAAGCCTGCCAAAACATTGTTCTCGGGATTCCAACGCCATGGATCTATCTGATTTTTGCGTCTTGACGATCCTGGATCGTACCAGAAAGCCATTCTTAGGACTTCAACACACAGAATCAACGTGACTGTTACGCCCGCGTAATCCTGAATCCTTCCAAAACATACTTATCTTGTGCGTTGATGATGGAATTCCGTGAAACTCTTGCAACTGTTTGAAACGAATGTGCGCGGCGCTAAGGCGAGGGCCACATATTGAAAAAGAAACCGCCTTCAATCCGCGAAGCTCCTGCAATTTTGTCAAACGAATGCGCGCCGCGCTGAGGCGATAACCACAGTTTGAAAACCACCCGCCCTCAATGCGCGAAGCTCTTGCAATCCCACAAGCCCTCTGGGCGTCGGTGGTTTAGTGCGTTTCCTCTTCCATCCCTCCTTCCCCTTCGGGGAGGGGTTTCCCCTCCCCTGGATCTGGACAAAGGGTTTCGCGAGACGTCGGAGCGTCCAAAACGGCCTCGGCGAGGAAGCCAAAATCATTAATTGTACCAAGGTTTTGGCCCCATTTTGGCCTTCTGGGAGGGCGACTGTAATCCGTACCCCCTCCTTCTTTGATCGATCTCCTCCGAGATGGCCCAAAAATTGCCCCCAAGGCTCCCAAGGGTGCCCCAAGAGGGCCCCAAGAGGTGGCCAGGAAGCCCCCAGAGGCCCCCAGGATGCCCCCAAGAGGTTCCCAAGAGACCCCCAAGAGGCCCCAAGAGACCCCCCAGAGGCACCCAAGATGCTCCAAGAGGCCTCGGCGAGAATGCCCAATCATTGATTGCACGGGGGTTTTAGCCACATGTTGGCCTCGTGGGGGGGGGGCACTGATTAAGATGACTCCAAGAGCGCCTGGGAGAGCCCCAAAATGACCTGTAAGACGGCTCAAGATATCCCAAGATGTCTCATAATGCTTCCTCTGTGTGCTGCCCACTTCCCTGATCGAGGCAATTCCTCTGGGCATCGTTTCTGGATGGGCTGGTGGGGATTCTTTTTGTCGCAAACGCAGGCGAGGGCGCCAGCGGAGAGTCAGGCTGGTGGGGATTCTTTTGATCTGCGGCTCCAAGGACGATTCCAGAGAGCGGGTCTAAACAAGCTTGGGGCAACAAGACTGGTGGGGATTCGCGAAGCGTCAACATTTGTTTAACGAATGTGCAGCGCGATAGCGCGAGAGCCACATTTTGAAAGCCACCCACCCTCCGTGAAGCTGCTGCCACTTTTAAGCGTCAGAATCATACATGGTGAGGAAGTCTCAGGCGAATCGTCCGGCCCGCCCTAAAAACTGGCCTCGGGGTTGACATGTAGAAGTTATCTATGAGGAAATGGAATGGAGGAGGAGGTGGAGGAGGGGGAGGCGGAAGAGGAGATGGAGAAGGAGGAGGAGGAGGAGGAGGAGGAGCAGGAGGAGGAGGAGGGAGGAGGAACAGGAGGAGGAGGAGGGAGGAGGAGCAGGAGGAGGAGGAGGAGGACCAGTGGAAACCCAAGAGTCATCAACGATGTTTGAACTAACCCTCCCTCCAAGATCCCTCTTCACAGGCCCCTGCAACGGTGCATCTCCATTGAGGGAACTGCCTAGTTGGAAGACAACAGTTTGAAGATCCTGAATCGTGCCAAAGCAGTGTTCACGGGATTTCAACGCCACGTAGCAATCGGACTGCTGCGTCTTGACGATCTAGAATCGTGACAGAACGCCGTTTTTTGGACTTCAACACAGCAAGTCAACATGACTGTTGCGCGCGCTTAATCCTGAACCCTTCCAAAACATCATTTCTGGTACGCTGATAATGGGAATCCGTGAACCTCGTGCGAATTCGGAAAACGAATGTGCGCGGCGCTAAGGCGAGAACAACAATTTGAAAACAACCCTCCGTCAGTCCGTGAACCTCTTGAATTTAATTTGAACGAATGTGCGCGGAGCTAAGGCGAGAGCCACATTATAAAACGAAACCGCCCTCAAACAATAAAACCATGGCAAATGCTTTAGACGAATGTGCGCGGCGCTAAAGCGAGAACCACATTTTGAAAACCACACGCCCTCAACCCGTGAAACTCTCGCAGATGTTGAAAACGAATGTGCGCAGCGCTAGGGCGAGAACCACATTTTGAAAACCACCCACCCTCCATCTGTGAAGCTGGTGCCACTTGTAAGCGTCAGAATCATAAATGGTGAGGAAGTCGCAGGCGAAACGCCTGGCCCGCCCGAAAAACTTGCCTCGGGGTGCGACAGAGAGAAATTATCGAATTAAGAAAAGGAATGGAGGACAGGTCGCCTAAGCCCTTCGGAGAAACCCTCCGCCCTCGCACCACTCGACGGCCTCCCCTGTGTGCCTCGCTGGCCCCCCTCCCTCCCTCCCTCCTCCCTCCCTCTCCCGCTGCCCCTTCCCTTCCTCCTCCTCCTCCTCCTCGACCTCGTCCTGCCCCCCTCCCTGTCCCGCTCCTCCCTGCTTTTCCCCCTCGTCCTCTTCCTGCTTCTCCTCCCTGCCCCTGTCCCCGGCATCCGCTGTCAGAAGAACCCAGCGGGGCATCCGAGGAGGACACTTCCTGCTGGGCGGTGACGACGTCGACGAGTCGGCGTCGCCGTCGTCGTCCTCGTCGTCGTCCAGCGTATTCGTCTTCCACCGCCGCCGTCGACGCCAGGGGGGGACCTTACAGGCAGAATTGACTGCACAGGACACGCGACAGGACACAAGACTGTCTCCGACGGCAAGAGGGCCCAGGACACAGGACTCTCCCGACTCGGCGCGATGCACAGACGGACCCTTGATCTGGAAGGGTCGACCTACTCCTCCGGGCCGACTGTGCCAATCGGGGTGCCGTCCTCTGCCTTCCTCCCCGCCGCCGCCGCCGCCTCCGCCGCCGCTGGCGTCGTCGTCTGGCGGCGCCGCTGCCGCTGCCCGGCCACGAAGGAGAAGAGCCCCCGGAGGGGGGGGGGGGGGGGGAAACGTGGCCCGGGCCCTGGGGGCTCCCTTCTTTTTACCATTCGGTCGGGCGTGCCCTCCTACAGGCGGATCTCCGACGAAGATTCCAAATGGCCCGAAATAATCGAAGCTTACCGAAATTATCCCAGTGCGACCCTACCTAGGAGTTGGAGCCTCTAGGAAAGCAACATTAGTAGGAGCGGTAAACGCCGTCCTCCTCCTTCTCCTCATCGTCGTAGTTGTAGCAGTAGCGGTATGCTATGCTATGCTATGCTATGCTGCGCTATGCTTTGTTATGCTATGCTATGCTGCGCTATGCTATGATATGCTATGATATGCTATGACATGCTATGATATGCTATGGCATGAGATGATATGACGTGCTATGATATGACATGATATGACATGATATGCTATGCTATGATATGATATGCTGCGCTATGCTGTGCTATGATATGCTATGATATGAGGTGCTATGCTATGCTATGCTGCGCTGTGTTATGCTAAGCAATACTATGCTATGATATGCTGTGATATGCTGCGCTATGATATGCTATGCTATGGTATGCTGAGTTATGATATGATATACTATGCTATGCTTGGCTATACTACGCTATGCTATGCTGTGATAATGCTGCGCTGCGCTATGCTGTGCAAAGCTAAGCTAAGCTATGCTAAACTAAGCTAGGCTAGGCTAAGCTAAGCTCGGCTAAGCCAAGCTAAGCTAAGCTAAGCTAAGCTCGGCTAAGCTAAGCTAAGCTAAGCTGGGTGAACCCAAGGGGCGCAACTGGAGGAACCGCGGGGCGGATGCCGGGGGAACCGCCCGGGGCGGTTTCCATTGCCCGGCCCTTTCAGCTCACAGGGTAGGAACCCTTCTAGGCAGAGCCTAGGTAGGGAAACAATACACAAACCGTCCCCGGACTGTTTGTTCGACTACTTTTGCACATGTCGCCCGTAGAGGGACGCGCCCGACTTACATTCTGCCAGCGCAGACGGAGCCCCGCGGCACGGCGAGACAAACGAGCGACGGACGACCGACGAACGACATGGCGGGACCGGGGGAGGCATCGAGGGTTAAGTCGGGCCTGTCCCCCTACCAGGGGGAGTTTCGATTCATAAAAACAGATACCCCAAAAATCATCCAGAAATAATCCAAAAATGATATGGGAACTATTTTGGGGGTATCTTTTGGCCTTTTTGGGGGTACTTCGGGGGTATGTTTTACTTTTCGTCCCGAATCCCCCTGTATGGGGGACAGGCCCGACCTCAATCGAGGAAGGGGGGGGGGAGGTATCGAGGGGATATTTTGGGGTACCTTGGTGTATTTTGGCGGTATCGAGGGGGGGGGGAGGCATCGAGGGGGGGGAGGAGGAGGAGGAGGAGGAGGAGGAGGAGGAGGAGGAGGAGGAGAGGAGGAGGAGGAGGAGGAGGAGGAGGAGGAGGAGGAGGAGGAGGGGGGGGGGGAGGGGAGGCAGATGTGCCACGAGGGACGGCGCGCGCCCCGCGGGCTCCCCCGCTGCTTCGCGCCCCGAGCGCCGCCACTGCTCTCGGCCAGGCCCCGGGGCCCACAGGACGGCCCCGGGAGAGCCCGCGGCCGGTGCAGCGCCCGAATCGGGTCGGGCGAACGCCCTTTCGCCCGACCCGCCCGAAGGCGAGGCCAGGGCTGGGGATAACGTTACGTCGGGCGTGTCCCCCGACACGGGGGATTTTCGACGAAAAGTTTTAAAAATACCCCCAAAATACCCCCCCAAAGATCACGTAGCTGATTTTCCCGGCGCCTCCCGGCGCCGGGAGGCGCCCATATGCATCGAGGAGTGGGCCCGGCGGCGGGGCCGAATCCAGCTGCATGCAGCAGATTTCGTAACCCCCCCTTTCCCACCCTCCCCCTTTCGCCCGACCCGACCGAAGGCGAGGCCAGGGCTGGGGAGAACGTTATGTCGGGCGTGTCCCCCCACAGGGGGATGTTCGACGAAACATAAAAAAAATACCCCCAAAAATACCCCCAAAAAGATCAAACAATACTCAAATAATAGCCCCCAGACTATTTTTGGACTATGTTTTGATTATTTGTAGGTTATTTTGTATTTTTCGTCGAAAATCCCCCTGTAGGGGGACACGCCCGACATAGGGATAACATCGGGCGAGGGTAGCTCGAGAATCTCTGAGGTCGGGCGGCTCTGGGTGACGTCTTGGGCGCCGCGGCCTCCTCAGAGCCCACCAGAAGGCTCCGAGGGCGCAGTTTTGGGACGGCCCCGAGGCCCAGAGACGGCCCGGGATCCCGAAGCCGGTGCAGAACATCCAGGGCTCGCATTCAGATCTCCGGAGTGGTGACTTTTGGGGGCCAGGTTGGACCCTCAGATCGGCTACGCGCAAGAGTGACCCTGGGTAAGATCCCAGACCCCCGACGTCATGATTTTTTCATTACGTCGACCCCTGGAGGTCTCGACCCATTCCCCTGGACCGGTTTTTCATCCTGAGTCGTTTTTTCACGCTCCCGAGGCCCGGTGAGGGCCCCCGGAGGCCGAAAATAACCCAAACCCCCCCGTCGTGATTTTGTCATTGCCCGAGGGGGTCTGGGATCGGCATTTGGGGCGCGGCCTCTTTTGGGGGAGCCGCGGGGGGGCCGACCACCAGCGCGCGAGACGCTGCTGACGCAACGCGTTGGGCCCGCACCAGAAGTCTCTCCGGCGAAGGGTCACTCCTATAGCGTCGTCGAGCAGAGGCCTACACCCTGCGAAATGCTTAAGAAATCATGGGTTAAGAAATTCATAGTCTCAGAAATGGAATAAAACCCAGAGCTTCTATCAAAATCTTGGGATTTACATTGAAAAGTTAAGAATAATCGAGACTCTGGACGAAAACTTAGGTTTTCTTAAGCATCGCCTAAGGTGTACACCACTTCCCCCCGGGCCGGTTGGCATCCCGAGCTGTTCTTGGGGGTCCCAAAAGGCCCCCCGAGGCCCGAAGACGCCCGAAGAGACTTCCGCCGCGCTGCTCCAAGACTGGAGGAGGTCTGGGCCTCCAGCAGGAGCCCGCCATACCGCCGTCGTTGTCCCCCCGCGTGCCCGGCAGGGGCCTCGGCGGCCTCCTGTGCGGCCCTGGCGTCCTCCTCCTTCTTCCTCTTCGCCGCCTCCTCCCGCTCCTTGCGGGCTCGGCGAGCGGGCAGGGGCAGCAGAGCGCCGATCAGGGAGGGGGGCGGGAGCGAACCGGCTGTAAACGGCCGGTTTCCTTGGCGCCCCCTGGCGCCGGGAGCGACTCTGCGGATACATTCGGGCGAGGGTGGATTTGAAATCTCTCAGAGCTGGCGGGTCGGGAGGAGGTTCTGGGCGCTGCGGCCAGTTCAGAGCACTCTCTGGAGCGCGCTGGTAGCTCTCTGGGAGGCCTGGAGTTCATTGCAGACCTGCTTCAAAGGGGCCTGGCCTCCTCCTCCTCCTCGTCGTCGTCCTCCTCCTCCTCCTCCTCCTCCTCCTCCTCCTCTCCTCCTCCTCCTGCTCCACCTCCTCCTCCTCGTGCTCCACCTCCTCCTCCTCCTCCTCCTCCTCCTCCTCCGTCGCGGGAGGGAGCGCTCGAGGCGTGAGCCCCCCCCCTCAGATTTTGCAGCAGGTTCTGCCTCCCAACTTCCCGGATCTTCTCCGACGTCGCAGTCTGCCACGCCCGTGGGCCTTCAGAGGCCTATATTTAGGTCCGACGTGTCCTCCGACAGGCGGACTCAGGACGAACAACCAAACATTGTCGAACAAAGGCAAGCAACTGCACAAATAGTCAAAAAAATGTCCCCATGTTTTTGTCTACAAAACTATGTTTGAATGTTCCTCCTGTAGACGGACACGCCCCACTGAAGCCTATATGTCACTGCCGCGGGGCCAGTTTCGCATCCCCCGAGCCGCTCCTTGACGGTCTCAGGGTCGAGGGCGCCCAGGGGCCCAAAACGGCGAGGAAGCCTTCCCGTCGCGACTTCTTCACGACGAGAGGACGTCTCGGCCTCTTACAGGGAGCCCTTCCTTCGTCGCCGTCGTCGTCGTCGCCGTCGTCGTCGCCGCAGCCGTAGCCGTCGCCGTCATCGTCGCCGCCGTCGCCGTCATCGTCGCCGCCGTCGTCGTGGTCGTCGTGGTCGTCGTCGTCGTCGTCGCCGTCGTCGCCGTCGTCGTCGTCGCCGTCATCTTGCGCCTGCGTGCCAAGCAGGGCCTTGGCGGCCTCCTGTGCGGCCCTGGCGCACTCCCCCTTCTTCGCGTCAGTATGTTTCACATACCATCGGCCTGGGCTTCCTAATCCCCCCACCGTTCGTCTGACCCGATCCTTGGCGGCGTCCTTGCCCCAGGCGGTGCCCTTCAGGATCGGCTCCTGCGCGGCTCGGACGCCTCGACCTCCTCATCTTCCGCCTCCAGTCCCTCCTGAGTCCCTCCTGCTATGGCATAACTCCTCCCTGTCGGATCCCCAGGCGTGTAAGTAGAGCGGGCCGGGCGTGTCGCCTGAGACTTCCTCACCACTTATGGTCCTGCAGCTTGAACTTTGCAACGGGTTCACTGCTTTCGCACGGCTGCGGATTCCCGAGCCTTCGTCCTGTAACCGGGCACTTCCAACAATGAAAATAACATTCTTGTGGGGAAATATAAAGAGGGAGCTTGTAGGGAGGGGTTTTGGAACATCGTTGATCCTCCTCCTCCTTATCGTCCAAGTCTCCTGCACCTCAAAGCCCTGCTCCTCCTCCTCCTCCTCCTCCCCCTCCTCCTCCTCCTCCTCCTCCTCCTCCTCCTCCTCCTCCTCCTCCTCCTCCTCCTCCTCCTCCTCCTCCTCCCCCCCTCCCTCCATCCCTGTTCCTTCTAGGTAGCGTCCCCCTTTCGCAGCTCAGGGCGCGCTAGCAGGGCAGGCAGGGCATTTTGCCAAAGTCGTACTCACCACTTAGGACCCCGAAGATGGAGCTTCGCAGCAGGTGCACGGATCAAGCAACGGTCGACTTCTAAGCGAGGCTCTCGCCTCAGCGCCGCGCCCAGTCGCCAGAAAATCCTGCAGCAGTTAGGAAGATGGAGGGCGGCTACTGCTAGACATTGCGAACGTTTTCTGATTCGGCGTTTCGACATTGGGCGGAAGGGGGTGAGCGGGGGGTTCTGGCTCCGGACCTCTGCTTACTCAACGGAGCCTGTTTGCAACAGTGCGTCCTGTGGGGGATGCTCCACCTGCTCGAGACAGGCGCCACATAGGCAGCCAAGATCTACTCCACAGGGTGGGGGGAGGGGGGTGCGAGGGCCCGCGCCGATCGGCAAACCAATGATTAAGAAAACGATGGCACTGGGGCGTCTGTTTCTTGCCCCGGCGGCACCGCCTGATCCCGGGCCTTTGCCCTCTCTTGGCCTTGACGTGAGGCCCCGCCTTCTTTTTTCCTTCCTCTGCTAATTAAAGCTGTGCGCGGCCCGTTAAACTTCGACCAGAAGAGGCTCGCTCTCGACTCGCGGATCAAAAAAGTTTCTTGCCCCGGCGCCAGGCACCGTCGTTTTCCAAGACTTCCAGCACCTCGAAGTCGGCGGAGGTCGGTTCCTGTTGCGGGACGGAGCCTTCGCCTCGGCACCGCGCGCCTTCGGCAATTATTTGTTCGTTGCGGCAGCCAGCGGCCAGGACGGAGGGTGGCCCCGTTCCAAGAGGGGGCTCGCACTTGGGGGCCAGAAGCTTCGACAGATGCGTAGCAGCTGCACGGATGGAGGGCGGTTCTTCTGAACTTCCACGGTGAGCAGGGAGGAGGGAGGAGCAGGGAGGAGGAGGAGGAGGAGGAAAAGGAGGAGGAGGAGGAGGAGGAGGAGGAGGAGGAGGAGGGAGCGCACGTAGCTTGAGTGACGGTGACTCAGCTACTGCTGCATGCTCTATCGACGCATTGCGGCGAGAGCGGCAGCTCGTACTTCGTAGTGGTAGGATGGCGTCGCCGACCTCCTTGGGTGGGAGGCCAGGTCAGCCTTCAATTTATGATAGATATGAAAGCTGAGGACGACCACGCGGTGGCAACGCGCACGCGGGAATTCGACCTCAGCATCGGGCGAGGGCCCGAGCCCAAGGCGGGTGAGGGGACAGGAGGGGAGGAAGCCCCTAGGGACAGCAAGAAGGTGGAGGAGGCGAGGGCAGGAGATGTAGTGGGCAAAGTCATCGGATGCATCGGGACAACCAAGGAGACACTGGCGGGGCGGCTCGCACGGGACACGGGCAGCCGTGGTCCAGGCCCCCGCCAGTGTCTTGATGTGGGCCCATGCCCAGGCCGGGGGGCTTCGAGTGAGGACTCGTCGCAGCTCCTCCCAGCGGCTGGTGAGGTCGGCAATGGGAAGAGGGGGAGCGAGGGGAAGCCACGACGAGATACGACGAGCGAGAAGAGAGGGAAAGGAGTCGGGATACAGGGACGCATGGAGGCTCAGAGAGAGGGCACGCTGGGGCCTCGGCCGTCTGGCGGCGGCGGTGGCGTCTGTTATTTCGTGGCGGGCGGCAGCTTCCGCTCGGTGCCAGGCGGCGCGGGCAATCCCCGTCGGTCCGCCCTGCAGCACATCTTCGAAGAATTCTGCGATTGAGAGCGAGCGGCGCCACACAGCACTCGAGAGACCGCGAGAGCCAAGCGCTCGGAGCGGTCCGTGCATTTCGGCCTGGGCCCGAAGGATCGACAAAGCCTGGCTCCAGCCCCTTGGGCCGTCCCTGGGGAGGGTGGAGGTCGCAGTTCTCCAGGCAGAAGCCCCAGCCAGGACCCGCACGGACCTGGGGACCGAGGATCGGAGCCAGGAGCCAAGGCCCAGGAGCTCCCCCAGGCCGAAGGCATTCGGAGGGAGGCGGAGGAGGCGGTGGAGGACGTGACGCTCGGAGCGAAGGAGGGCGAGAGGAGGGGGGAAGAGCTGACAGACGTAGCTCAGGACTGAGAGGATGCCGAAGTTGTATACGCGGCAACTTGCCTCTGCAGGCGTCCTGCTATGTGCGACCTCTGCTGTGCGGCTCCGCCACTTGCGAATTGGGTCGGTCCACTGGTCCGCAAGCGACGCCCCAGGACCAAAAGCGAACCCAAGGAACGGGGTGCAGCCACGGACGTGAAAGGAGGCCCACTCTGGGGCCAGGGCAGTTATCTTCGCGCTCACACGCGCCGCGACACAGGGCGTGCATTCTTCAGCCAGTGGAACGGCACAGCATTTGTCCGGCTGGAGCTCGAGATTCGCCAGCGTGCGGGCGGCGGTGAAGGGTGGGACGAGCAGGGGGAGAAGTCGGATCGAGGGGAGAGTGGCACCAACGTCATCCGCCGTCACACCGCACTCAGGCTCTAGTCTTGGGCACCAGCGCTCGGGGCTCGGGCAGAGGGCCAGCGCTTCGGGCGACATGAGCTGAGACTGGATGTGGCGGGCGAAGGGATCCATGGACAGGGCCCAAATCGTGCCAGAGAGGGGGCAGCCCTGGGCCACGCCAGACGTCACCATGAAGAGAGGACGGCGGGATGCTCCGCATCGGGAGTGGGCGAGAGCCCCAGAGTACAAAGCAGAGATTACATTAAGGAAGCCCTTCGGGATGCGGTGACGCTCGAGCACACGCCAGAGGAAGGGCTGGGAAAGGGAGGGAAACGCAGCCCTGAGGTCAAAGGAAACGAAGAGGGGGGACAACTCAGGGTGGTGGCTGGCAGCACGAGCGACCGCATCCTGACGGACGACGTGAGACAGGAAGTTCCGTCCGCGCACAAAGCCCTGCTGGCTTTCATGCACTCGTGCGGCCGCAAGAGGGGCGAGCACGTGGTTCGCCGCACTAGCCACTGCCTTGGCATCACAGTTCTTGAGGCTCAGAGGACGAAGCTTCGACGCGTGGCGGACCACCTCCACAGAGTCCGAGGGCTCGTCACCCTTGGGAATGAAGACCATGTCCGCGAAGTTGAAGCCGTGCGGCGCGCCCCTGCCCTGGCACAGGCCGATCATCATGTCGTAGAGGATGTCCACCAGCCTTGGGTCCGCCAGCCAGGCCGCCGCAGGGAGTCGGTCAGGCCCAGGGGCAGTGGGCTTGGCTCGAAGAAGCGCAGCACGAAGAACAGCTGGAGAAGGAACCTCCAGAGCGGGGCTGTCAAACTCAGGAAGGTGAGAACGCAGGTAATCGTCGACCGCGTTGATGTCGACTGGGTGATCTGTGAAGGCTGGCTGCCAGTGCTGACGTAAGCCATCCATGATCATGGTCGGGTGACGTTCGATGCCCGCCTGGTGTCCCTCGCCATCCATGCGGAGACCCTTGAGCACCAGTCGACGACGGTAAGGGATCCAAAGAAGGGCTCGCCGTTGAGCGGCACGCTGTATCTTCCGCAACTGCTGGATGGTGGGGTCGCCCGCGTCGAGCTGCAGTTGAGCATGTTCACGAAGTCGGGCGGCTGCTGCAGCTTGCTGGTGTTCGTGCCAGGCGAGATGAAGGTCCATGCACTCTCGCTCGAACGCAGGAGGATTGAGTAGCAGGATGCGGTTGTCTCCGTCGATGGTGAGGTGCATTCGGCCCATGGCAGTGGAGTGGATCAGCTTGTGCGCGAGGTGCATGTCCTGTCTCCATATTGCTCTTGCAATCGCGCGTGTCGAAATTCTGCGGCCCTCGAGAGCTTCAGCATGGCCATCGCCGATGGGGAGGGCTTGCAGCTCATTGCGGGTGATGCGAGCAGCTTCAATCATCTGCAGCTTCACCTCGGCCCACCGGTTCTCCTCCGCCATGTTCGAGAAGTCGGAATGGTTGAGCAGGTTGGTGATGTGCTTGGCAAACCGTGGCGAGTGGAAGACGCTCTGGGGGATCGCACGGTCGTCGGGGGCAGCCGCGGTGCGGGGCTGGATCCGCAACTGGATGATGGCGTGATCGCTGAGTCCCCAGTCTGCCAGAGAGGTCGCCTCCTGCCAGATCTCGAAGGCGACGGAGGTGTCCAGGAGGAAGTGCGACTTCAGGGAGATGAAGGCCCTGTCGATGAACGTGCACGACTGGTGGCGCTTGGAGTAGTGGGTGGGCAGCTCGCTCACCACCTCCACCATGTCCCGTTGGAAGAGGTTGCGCCAGAAGCCCTGAGCTTGGTTGCCACGGTGCCAGACCGATCGGCTGTTGCCACCAGCACGTCGGTAGTCTCCCATAGCCGTCTCCGCTGAGGAATCCGAGGGGGAGGAAGACGAAGTAGAGGAAGAGGAAGAGGAAGAAGTAGCAGAAGTCCTCCGTCGCCCAGTGCCCCGTGTTGGCGCCGAAGTCGAGGCCGCGCTCGGGGAAGAGAGATGCACCGGCTCAATGTCAGCGATATTGAAGTCCCCGATAGCGATGAAGATGCGATGCCGTTCGTCATTTTGCGCCCATGCAGCTCCGTCGAGCCAATGACGGCGCACGAGAGGTGGTTT